TGTGTGTGTGTGTGTGTGTGTGTGTGTGTGTGTGTATTTTATTCCAATATTTTCCTAAGACCATAAATTCCTAAAACAGAGGTTATGTCTGATGTACTTATTTATCCCAGGACAACATCTAAAACTTGATGATGCTCCATGTATAGTTGATGGATTTGGAAATGTCTTTCTTCTGGACTTCTCTCCCTTCCTTTCTCTTCAGCCCGGACTGCCCCATGCTGGATGATAATTTCCCAGATTCCATATTTCCTTTTGGCAGAAACAGAAGACAATTTGTTTCTCTAATCTATTTTTATTTTTAAATCATTCTGTCTTTGTTCAAGTGATTCTCAAGCCAGAGAAGTTGTAGGCAGAAACAGTAACAAGGGTCAAAGCAAAAAATAAGCATTGCTCCTGCCAGGGAGTTTTTCTTCCCATTTTCATGCTTTCATCTAGAATTCCATTTATTTACATTTGAAATCACCAAATTTCTTAAGTCCCAGACAATTGAAGCTGCTTTAAGAGTCACCTCAGAAAGGTTAGGGAGCATGAGTACAATCAGCCTCATGTCTGCCTCCCTTTTGTTTCCTTTGCCCTTCACTTGGTTCAGATAGAACTGTGCTACTTTTCCACTGAGCCTCTTCATACTCAAACTGCAACTAGCCAAAGAGGGCTCAGTATCTAGACTCTGTATCTAGAATGTTCCTTGTGACACAAAATATGTTCCATGGACAAGCAGCATCAGCATCACCAGGGAACTTGTTAGAAATGAAGCATTTTGGGCATTACTCCAAGATAATGAATCAGAATCTGCATTTTAAAAGATTCTCAAGTGATTTATATGCACATTAAAGCTTGAGACGCACTGCTCTCCATCTGCTGGAGTACTCCCTTAGTGATTCCTTGCTGGAGTGTTCCAGAAACAGAAGACTAAAATCTATGGCTTGAAAAGGAGGGAATCATTTAAGCTGCTCCCTGTTCTCTAGCCTTAAGGAGTTCCAGAGTCAGTCAGAGGCCATCCTAAGAATAGATCTTGCTGTCTTTAAATAAAAATATGTTGGAGAAATGAAAAGACAACCACATGTTAGCCATCATCTCCTTCCCATATTTCATTCATGCTCTCCTGGTATCTCACACTGCTACAACACAGATACTTTCATTTATATAATAAGGAAATTTTTAATTAAAAGCATCAGAACCTTTGAGCATATATAATCCCTTAAAAATTAAGTTTATCTGTATTCACAAGCCTCCATTTATTTGGTAGTGACAACAGGATAAAAAAAAACTGCCTCCAAAGGGGCATAGAGGAATGATTAAGCTAATTTACAATAATTGCTTTAATCTTGGTATACTAAATTGTAGTGTTTAACTCTTTCAATTCTCTTGGCCTAAGGTAAAGGCAAAATATATCACTGTGCTCTATATTGTACCTCTGAATCACAGTGGAAATTCTGGCCTATAGTGCCAGCCCATCACCTGTATCATCCATGCAATAGACAGGGAGATATACAGAAGCCGCTCCTTACTCCACCCCAACACCTAATTGCGTCTCTACTCATTCCTTTGCTTTTAAGATAGAAAGCCCAAGTTTAGAGGCAAAAGCATTAGAAGCTATTAATTTCTTAGCTCTAATAAATTGACCAGACCAGAACTTAATTGAGGAAGGCACTCAGGAAAAAGACATAGGACAAGGTGATATAAAGGAGAAGAGGGAACGGGTTGAAACGTGGGCAGCTGGGAAGGCCAGGAGAGGGCCCAGGATAGGAAGAAGGTGGTTGAGGTCTACAGAGCTCACCTTTGCTTACTTCCTGGTATGGTTCAGAAGAGTCGTACTGGCTGCCGACTTTAACTTTTGCTGTGGATTGACCCCTATACCACTCCAGAAAGCACATAGATTAGGGAGGTCAGTGGTATTTAAGGTGTTGTAAAATATTTCTTTATGCTTCTGGCACCCTTGCCCACCCCAGCCCGCTTTGAGGTTTCTCATTTCTCTCCTTGATGGGACTGCCTAGGTCAGGCCTGGTTTTGCTTTATGAGTGACTCAGGTCTGAGCCTCTGATCAAGAGGAGGTAACCCTAGTGATAGGTGCAGCCCTTTTGAGTCAGAAGAATGGAATTGCACTGTAAGGGACCATTAGCATTCAAAGATGTTTGGCTGAGAGTTATTTCCCCACTATTTTGCTTGTAGAAAAACCACACTGTTCATCTTTTGCCCTCAGTGAGCTCTGCTCCGCCAGTGATTTCAGTCTCTAAGTTTCCTGAAAGGCTCTGCCAGATGTGACCAATAGTTCATCATCATCTGATATCTGGTATATGGCTTCAAACAATAGGAGATGATGATCAGTGTATGCACATGACATTCATATAAGTAATCTGTCTACAGATTTTGGCAAGAAATATTAAACTTAAAAAAAGGACCATTGCTTTTGAATTGGAAACAAAGTACTCAGCAGCTAAAAACATGGGAATGCAGCCCACTTTCAATTGTAGAAGGCATTGTGTGTGGGCTCCCTTGGTGTCAAGCTTGAAAGAAAGGAATTAACAGGAAGAAACAGATGTGGATCGTCATTATTAATATTTCCATATGCTACTTTCCTTCTGAGATGCTTAATGCCTCCTACGATGATTATCTCACTTATCCTTGGGGGCTTTTGATTGCCTTAGGGAAGCCTGGGAGGGCAGAGTGAGCCAACACACAAGCACATGCTCTCTAAGAATTCACAAAATGCTTTTACATCTAGCATCTTGTATGAGCCTCACAGCAGATCTGTGAGGTTACAGAGTTTATCATGCCTAGTTTGTGAAAGAGTAGTGTTTGAAAGCCTGGACTTCTAGATCCAATGGCATCCAAAAGGTTTCGAGGGCAGTGCTGCTGTTGTTGTGGGTAGCACATCCTGTTCTTGAACTGCCAAGGATGTAGGGGGATAACTTTATGCTTCAGAAGTGGGGCATCAGGGGCTCCTTCTTTATCTGCCTCATTCATTCCTTATTGCTTACATTTGGACTCCTTATTGAAAGTTTGCAACCCTAAATGCATTCTCTGTCTTCTTCCCTCCAACCTCAAGTAGTATTTTAGCCTCCAAGTTCCCATAAATCTTTATACCTAGATTTGACAAGTGTTTCTCAAGTTTTTAAACTTATGCCCCTTTTTAATAAACATCTTGCATTCTTCCTGCCATTCTTCCCCTCTTACCTGCTCATTGCAAAGACACTGGTATAGCCATTCACACCAAGTTGAGAGTCCAGATAACTCTTGGTCTGGAAAACCATCATCTTATCTCTACCAGCAGCCAAATTTTACTGATCTTTATTTTCTGTCCTAAGAAACCAATGTGCTTACTTTTTTCTTCTGCTACATATAAGGTGATATAATATTGATATGATATTTCAAACTACAGTAGTCCCCCCTTATCTGTGGTTTAGCATTCCATGGTTAAAGTTACCCATGGCCAACCACAGCTTAAAAACAGATGATCCTCCTTCTGATATACTGTATAATCAGAAGGTCAATAGTAACTGAACAGTACATCAAAATGCCTACATCATTCACCACACTTTCTCTCATCTCCTAGACATTTTATCATCTCACATCACTGCAAGAAGAGTGAGTGTAGTACAATAAGATGTTTTGAGAGAGACTGCATTCATATAACTTTTATTATGGCATATTGTTAAAACTGTTCTATTTGATTATTATTGTTAATCTCTTACTGTGCCTAATTTATTAATTAAATTCTATCATAGGTATGTATATATAGGAAAAACCATAGTGTTTATAGGCTTTGGTACTATCCACAGTTTCAGGCATCCACTGGAGGTCTTCGAATGTATCCTCTGTGGATAAGGGGGGACTACTATACTTCTCTCCCACTCTGATTCTGAAACAGATAGCCCCTTGAGAATCACTACTCTATTTTTACTTATCAAATTTTATCATATTTATGGTTGTTTTCATGGCTGTCTACTAGACTATGACCTCCTTGAGGACGGCGATGCAATCTGGTTGTTCTTTGTATCCGTAAGTGCCAAGCAGAGTGACAGGTATGTAATAGGCGCACATTAAATATTTGTTGAACAAATGAATGAATAAACACTGCCAGAAGACTTATTCAATGCTACTGTGTCATTTTCTCCCATATCTTATTCCATTTTTAGCAAAAGTACAAATTGAAAGCATTCAAGATTCTTTAACATCTGACTCTGAATAGTGTCAATGAAAACAAGGGTTCCCTTTCTATTTCCCTCATTCTATCTACTATGCCATTGAATTTTTACTTCTCAGGTTCTATATGCTTCTGCTTAATTATTATATGCCTTCTTCTTTCATCTTGAATGTTTAAACTGACAGTAATTGTCCAGAATTAAATGCATGACCTCTAAAAATCTAAGCCACTAAAAAAGGAGTGGTTTCACACTGTAATCTGTCATAATGATCCTCAAGAGGGATGATTCTGTAATTTAGAAGAGGCTGCCATGTCAAAATAAAGGTTCAGATTAGCTCCACTGGTCAGCTTACC